GCGTCCGAATGGGGACTAAAAAAGTAAAAAGTTGATGAGGATGCCAACGACGAAAAAAAAGAAAAAAAAAGAAGAATTTCCTGCCTATTGATAACTTATCATGAAGTTCCAGTGATAATTAACACAATGCTATACCACAGCCAATGTTTATTCACTAATAAGTAAGCTTTTCCATTTATGAGTAGCTTTATCATTAAAATTGAACTAAAAAAAAATGAAAAAACATTGAAAAATTGAAACACTATTGATGATAATACTTAGAAGAGCAATTAGAAGATATACATACTTGGCTTGAATGGAGTTGCACTGCGTCCAATAGTTTTCTTTACTTGTGCTTTCCTTGTTAGTTGTAAATAGCTTTTCAGTTGACGTAATTTTACCCGGAACAATCTGAGTTCCTGCCCAGGTGTTTGAAGCTTCTGGTTCGGCTAATTTCATGAAGAAGTTTTCTTTACTTGAAGATGTAGATGAATTACTTGTCAACGCCTCTGAATTTTTTCCATTTTCTTTCTTCTCGACTGTCTTGGACTTTGCCTCCAACTGTTCAGACTGTTTTTCAGAAATTTTGTCTGTTCCGTTTTCTACACTTTCAACAGGCTCATTTTGTATCGATGTCTGACTGGGACCTAAAAAGTAATATATACACATTACAAAATTGTCTGAAAAATTGATGGGTGTAAAAATGCTTTTTGCAGGTGAATATTATTTTTAATTGCTTTCCAAATATGGGGATGAGCTAATAACCAAACTGCTTCCGTGAATTGATTCGCACAGCTAGCAAAGTATTGCTACAACACATGGACTGAACAGTGAAAATAGTCTATGATTCAGAATGTTTTGGTTCTGTCATTGCCAGGATACTATGCAGGCAATAAGTTGAAAATTGTACAAAGGTACAAGAAGGAGAGAGTTTATGTTCCATGTATGTACGCATGAAGAGTTGTTCATACCTGTAAATAAAAATGCATAACTCCTTCACAAATCTTTTAAACCCATTTTGATCAAGGTAGGTTTGCTATGAAAAATTACAGTGAGAAACAAAACAGTGACTCACTCAAAGAAAGTCAAAGAATGTTTTCGAAGCCTATTTCATGGTTGATGTTGCAAGAGTCACACAATTGACTGCCTGGTGTTGATGAACATGTGCCACCATTTTGAAGATGGATCCTTGTTGATATAATCCTACTACTGACTGTGCCTTTGTTGAACTTCCAATAATGACTTATTTTTTTTTGTAATCCACTGTATGTCCATTTGATCAAAAATTAACAAAAAATTATAGAAACATATATAAAAATTGTCAAAATATTAAAATTGAACTTTTAAGGGAGAAGATTAATGCTCTAAATGTTGCATCAGTTCTGAGAACTATTGCAAAATATTTGTAGTATGTTTGGGTGACTTAAACCGCGGGTCCGGATATATAAAAGAAAAGATGGCTGCCAGTTTTCAGTATGCAAATGACACTCAAGCGTGAAACATCGCTTCGAGATGCACCACAAAATCACTCTTTTCGGCAATCTAAACGCATGTGGTGCTTTATTTTCATGTCATACACAATCATGAATATATCCGCGATACAACTTGATGTTAATTTACAAATTCGGAGCGATGTCAGTGTGATTTCTGCGTAAAAGCTACAGGAAAGCATGATTCAGACAGTTGTTTTGACTGCTCAAAATGACTGTCAGTCATAGATAACATTCCTCGTTGTTTGTTCAATCTCTAGGTACGGTATGGTTATATAATTACAGAGTTGATAATGTAATTGATATCATGGAGCTAATAAGAAATGATTGGTCTGGCTCGAGCAAGTGCAGATGGCACAAGCTGAGGTGTGCACAAAAGGGGAGGGACCGTGCGTAAACATTTCAACAACTTCCTTAGTGTATGTGCGCAAAAAAAAAAAAAAGTTGCAAACTCAATTTTTATTTTTTCAGTGGTAACAAAGGTACACTAGGGTCAGTTACGAGAAGGGAAAATAGATGATTAAATGACTGGATTAAGTAAATGTCTATGTCATCTATGTTTTTACACAATCCTTTGTTATGTGTGAAATTTTACATAGAAACAGGACAAACAAAGATCATAGCGCTGTAGTGGCTTCAAAACAGCATGTGAGATTCAACAAATACGAAAGTATTTGGAAGTATTTCTATGCTTAAATGTGTTAAAAAACATTTGATGATGAGGGCATCTCAACGCCATATTCCCAGTGATTACTTTTCTGTAATTGACATACTGTAATGATTTTGTGTGCAAATTAGTTTGGCCTATTGTAGCTAATTGATTTACCACTGATTAGTACAAGCCACAAACTCTATAACGGTACTGATGGCTGATCTTACAACCACCAAAGACTTAACACATATCACAATTATGAAAACAAAAAACATCCCTCATGTACATCTGATAAATCAAAGAAAGCTTAGAAAGAACTCCCATGTGCTGAGAGTATTGGAGACAC